AGTACTGTAGCCTAACTATATCCCTAACGTTATATACATTACTCGGAGTAGATAATGTTAGTACTGTAGTGATCACGGATGGGAGGTCATGTATGTGGCCATAGCTCCTTCAGTTTCATTGCGTCAAGCACCTTGATATGTTGACGTAAAGCAAGTTGTTTGCCAGAATGAAAACGGCAAACAACTTGTTTTACGAAAGTGCCAGTAAAACCACCTTCAACCAACCAATCATCGCATTAGATGAAGTAACTTTAAACAACGCACCCAACCGTTATTCAAGTTACTTTAGACATTATTTAAGCCTGAGAGATTTTTAAACAATGAATTTAACCCTGGAATTGCCAAAAAAGGTGCAAAGCACAATAATACTTTGTAGTCTTAAAAGACTACAAAGTTGCATTATTACTATTAATACAGTAGTATTATATACTGTAGCGACACTTTGATTGATACTCTTCGATACCAAGTCCAAGTTGATCATTGCAAAGTGCAACCAACCTCCATACCTAATGAACAAATTTCGTGCGTAGAAAGTGTACGAGTATCCGGTTAATCCAATATAATGGGCGAGTCACTTCTGGGTCAATACCATGAATTGATGATTTTATACTTGGATTTTGTATCGCGATGTAAACCAAAATAGTCCGATACGTACCTAACCCCAGTAGCATCCAACCATATGCCACCTTCCCATACGTGAATCCAGTGTGTTTGGAATGGCGCCCCGGTGCCAGGCTTTCGCGGCCTGGTCGCACCTCGCACGCAACGCTCCATGATGCCGCTACCATTTCCAGGTTGGGTACAATGCCGTCCGCCGATGGCTTCACCTGCGTCGCAGTGCCAGGCGGCCCCATCGGCGCGTTCAAACTCACCGCCGAAAGCCGAATGCTGGACTGTCTGTCCACGATAAAGGACCAGACCATGGATAGGCACTGCCACTTCTTTGCTAGCATCGGCGAGTGCCAACGCGCGTCCGCGTCGTCGTTCAAGGTCAACGACGTCGACGACGATTACTCCAACCCCAACAAGTACTGGACCAAAGCGCGGGCGATGTTGATGAACCAGCCTCCTGCGACATCGGCGCCAACGACATCATCACCACCACCACCAGTGACGACCGCGCCTTCCACCACGCAGCACCCGCCGCCGCCGTCGCCGCCGCCACCACGTACGTCCACTTTTTAGCACTTTCTGTCTTCTGACCCTCCTGTAGCCTCGACGACACCGCCCCCACCAGACACGACCACCCCGACAACGTCACCACCACCACCACTTCCACCCCCCATCTCGACTAGCTCCCCTCCAACCACAAGTGCAACATCATTACCATCAACACCGCCGCCACCGCTGCCACCACCACCTCCCGCCATTCGCTTTGAAACCATCACCCCCGACTGGTCGTGCCAGCTCCACCAAGACAAGAACCTGTACGCCGCCGCGCATGTCGTCAACAACACGTACGAGTGCTTGAGCGTGGGCGAAGGCGGGTGCCACTACTCCCAGACCAATGCCGAATGTGCGCTGTGGCTGCAAAGCGAAAACAAGTGCTGGGTCACGGGCAACTGCACGTCCACAATTCGCATCAAAATCCTCGGCCCAGTTCACCTTCCTTCGACCGAGCGCCACCCCCACCCCCCCCCAACCTCGTGTACGTCCCTTTTTCCGCCCAAATTCACCCAGTTGTGGGCTCCTCTTGGGTTTATACAAGCTCACGTTGGCCAGTTTTCACAATATAAGGGATCGTTTCTTTCTCATTAGCCCCCCCGGACCCTTCGTCCAACGACGTGACCGTGGTCCTCCTTGCAGCTATCGGACTTGGGCTTATGCTGGTCGTGTTTTTATTCTGGCGCCGCCGCCAGCACCTGCTCCACCACGCCACCGCAGCGTCGTCTTCCCACTTTGACTGGACCGGTACGACCAAGGCCAAACATACGAACAAGCAGCAACTGGTGCCATATCAGCCGGAAGCGGGGCTTCTGCTGCTGCCGACCCGCGCCCGGACCGCCACCACGTTTATCCAAAGCGACAACGACGACGGGCTAGCCAATCATAACCTCCAAGAAGATGAAGTAGCGCTGGCGCCGCTGGACATGGGCAACCTCGCGCTGTGGCAACTGGATGAGGCGGACTTGGTCATAAATAAAGCGCTCCACGTTGGTACCCGCGCCGTTGTGAGCCTCGCTACCCTCAAGCACCAGACTGTCGTCGTCAAGAGTTTGAACGCGGCCAACGCCACTGACCGCCGCGCCATGCAAGTGTTTGTCAATGGCATGCAATGCCTCAGCACGTACGACGACGACAATGGTCATACTCATGTGTTGCAACGCTTCGTCGTCCATTCGATTTACATCGGTGTTGTTCCCCTCTGTATCGTGTTATATATATATATATATGTATATTGTCGTCTCCGTTTGCACCAAATGTACTGGAATCATTGAAAAGCCTATTAATATATGTCTGGCTCCAAGTTTTGCGCCATGAATATATATTTCGAAACTTTGGGTCAAAGCAAGTCAAAAGAAGTTATACGATTCCAAGGTCTTGCCAACGTTCAGAGAAATAGAAGTCTCTTGAACCTCGTTTTTATGTTTTGGCCAAAAACGTGATATTTTTTTGGCAAAATAATGTGAAGTCTCCAAATGTTGGCTCCAGACAGAGATTTTTTCACTTTTTGCCGATTTGTTCGAAATGGCCAAAATATACAAGACGTTGGGCGTTATTTATACATCCAGACTCACCATAATCAATCTTACACTGGGAATATATATATATATATATATATATATATATTCCCAGTGTAAGATTGATTTGAGAGTAGTATATATAAAAAAATAGTCGCATATGATATATATATATGTCGTGGCGCAGATCCAAACGACACGTACAGTCTTACGCTTGGGGGTGGGGTGGTACTATTACTGTTGACACTGCATTCTTGTGTCCGTTTATATGTTATATAAATCCACCTTGATTGATCCTTTATGTACGTTTGTGGTGGATTGTATTGTCTTTCTTTTACCCCAATTTTGGACTTTTGTGCTTTTTCTTTGCCAAATATATCGCCATCGATACTTTGTATTATTGACTTTTGTATGTAAAGATCGTCCAGTCTCACACTAATTTCAGTCACACACTACTTCGATGTTGCATTGGTCGAAAAGTGGATTTGATTGGCTACTTGATTCGTGTTTTGGGTTTTGATTGGTCGATCGATATTGTCTGCCGATTTCGTGCTGCTCATTCGATTGAGCGAGCACCCCACTCCAATTTCGAATCGACTTGGCAATATATATTATCCTTTGATTGAATAGTTCGTCCGTGGATCGAAATACAAACACCTGTTGTATGATGTAGACTCGAATCTCCGTACATTGTGACCATGATCGGATGCTGCTGGAGCGGCGGTGGCGGGCCGCTCAACGTGATGCTTGTGCTCGAGTACATGGCGTGGGGGGACCTCCGGTCGTACTTAGGCTCAGTGGGCGCCATCTCGTGGCAAATTAAACGCAACTGGGCGCATGCGATATCCCAGGGACTGGTCTACTTGCACTCGATGGACGTGGTGCATCGAGCGATCGACGCGGCCAACGTCCTCCTTGACTCGCACTTGCACCCCAAACTCACCAACGTGACTGCCACGTCATCGTCATCGACGTATACGGACATGGCGACACTGGCCCCAGAGGTACGACAATGAAAAATCGCACTCTTCGGGGTTTCGAGTTAGGGCAAACTAACTAAACTGCCTTGGGGTATGTATCGCAGTGGTGGTGTATTCTTTATACTTGATACGTGTATAAATGGATGTTTTACAAATATAAATTTACAAAACTTAAACGTGAGCACAGTCAAAAATGATCATCATTCCAACTGCTTTTCGTGGATAAATCAGCTATCATTCCTATTTAGGACCTTTGGGGGTTGTAATTGGGTTCCATTTGAAATTTTGTATTCCAAAGTACTCCTAATGTGTGGGAGGTGGTTCACTGATTTGGATGAGATACCCTAATTTCACACCTGAAATGTCCATTCGTGCAATCACTTTCGAACAGAGGTAGTATATTTTAAGAAATAAATTTAATTAAACTTTTTGGATGATCTATAAATTTAATTTTTTTGCTGTGGGATGTCTTGTGTGTGTGTATGATAGTTATATGTTTTTGGTTTTTTCAACAAGTTATTTTATATGATAGTTTTGGAATATATGTTAAAAATATCCTAGGATTCTGGATAATTTTGTAATACATGTTCAAGTTGGATTGGATGAAAAATCCATCGCATCGTGTGTTTCGTAGTACCCGATAGTATATATGTCTAGTGTTTCAATTCTCTGGTTTATTGAAATATATACTATACTGAAGTATATATTCTGACAATTATCTAATCCACAATCATCTCGCAACCACGCATACATACATATTCACGTTGGACACTTTGTACATAATTATTTTGAGTCGTACTATTGTCGTTTCAGCCCGTTTTTGTACTTTATATTTGTGTGTGCTGATTCTTCGCCAAATCCCTCGATCGATTGGTTGTACTGATAGTTGTAGATATAAATATGTCCAGTGTCACACAAATATAAAAGTCCCAACCACGAATTCGATATAGAATGGTTGACATGAGCTGTTTGATTGGCCACGTCCTTTGTGGTTTTGATTGGTCCGTCATCGATTGTCTGTCGATTTGCGCCCCTCTTCGCCCTTTTCAAACATCGAATCGACAAAGTGAGTAAAGTATTGAAGCGGTTGTTGTTATGCTCTTTACTAGGTGCTCGAAGATGCCGCGGCCGTGTCCGAGGCGTCCGACGTGTATGCAATCGGGATGCTGCTTGTAGAACTGGACGCCCAACAGCCCTTTGACATGACGGGCATCAACATGGACGATATCGACGGCACGTGGCACGACCGGAAGGTCGCCGCGGTGGCTCAGTCGTTTTCCGCCAAGTGTCCTCCCGACGTCCAGCAGCTGGCACTCCGGTGTGTGGCGGCAGAGCCACAGGACAGACCCAATGTGTTGGAGGTCGCTTCGGCACTGGACCCGTACGACCTTGCCAGCGGCAGTCGTCGGTCGTAGACGACATATAGCCAGGAGGATGTGGGGATTGATGTGACGTGCGTTGAGGATAATTTTGGACAAATATGTGATTTACAACTTATGTGTGGATGTACATATATATTATATATATATGGCACTACATACTACAGTAGTACTAGTATATGATACTACTTGGTGGGACGGTTGGCTGGAATTGTGCTTTCAAAGTCATAACGTTCATTGGAAAATATCGTTATTGACAGGTTTTGAAAGATATAGTACTACTGTAACTAGTACAAATTCATAGTTTATATGTAGTTCCTTTGGTGTAATAATATCATTGCCATGACAGTAGCAGTATACTACCTAACGTTGCAAGTAGAAATGATTTCACAATCAGATTACTACTGTCGTAAGTTATGATATTTAGCCGTTGCAGGTTGGTTCCACCTAACTGTAAACCTCGTCAAGTCACCAGTATAATTCATACTAGTAGTATGTAGTATACTATTAATAGTAATTAACACTGGTATTGTGCTTTTCACATATTTTGGCTAATCTGGGTATAAATACCCGCTTTTAACCAGTGGGTGACGAAGTTTTAGATTAATTCAACTTAGTTTTAGCTAATCGGAAGTACCTTTGATTGGATGAGCAAAAGCTGTTCCTGCAGCATATGTTGCTAACTTGAAGCGTTTGCCCATTTCATTTCGGCAAACGCGGGGGT